GAGTAGTTTATCAACAACAGAAATTTAATTCCCACCGTTCCGGAGGTTGGAAGTCCACAAATTCCATGTTACCTAGTTGAGAAAATCAAAAACTAAGCTGAAGGATGTCCCATTTTGTTTTACACAATAGCAAAAATCTTACTTTTGAACTGGATAATATAAATACAAGTGGTCAATGTCATTCACAAACTTACACCCTGAAGCTCATAAAAACATCTATGACCAGGAACACAATTTGATACATTCCCACAGAAAACAAGGATCATTTTCTAAATCATCATTGGAACCCAAAGATGCCACAGCCCTTATTCCCATCTTGCCCTGGGCCACACTACCTAAAATGTTGACTGCCCTCCTCTCAAACACAGAGTGAAACACTGGCCTCACATCATACCCAGCAGGACAATCCACCACATGTGGGCCTGAAACATGCCTGGATGCAGCTTGGCTCAGGCCCCTTCCTCATCACTCACACCCTCTTCTGACGGAAATGACACAGAACTGGGATTCCTTCTGCAAACCCTGAGCAAAATATCTAGGACTATCAGCTCGGTGGTCTCAGCATGGGCCCTGGGACCCCACAGGAACTCATAGCATGCAGGATTGCTGTCGGGCACCTGGCGATACACCAGGTACTGTTTGCGCACCCACACTTTGGTGATGAGCTCTCTGGGCTCCCCATAGTTCCAATGCTCCTTCCCATCATACAGGCCCCTGACATGCAGGGCTTCCCAGACTGCCTCCTCAGGGGCACAATCGCCCTCTGTAGCGATCACCCACAGAACTGTGACCAGGAGGCCACTGTTGGGAAAAATATGCCCATCTTTCACCATCCCATCATAGGTCAGGTCCAAGGTGGTGACCAGGACATAGGAGTGGTCGATGGGGTCTACTTCTTTCACATCAATGCCAAAGACCACCTGCATGCACTCAGAGGCTGCACTGAAGATCACCTTGAAGTGGTCCTGGTACTCTTTGATGACCCTACTCAGCATTTCTGCCTTTGTGGTCGGTTCCCTGGCGCGATACTTTAGGAGCAGGAAGCCCACCAGGTCAACTTTCTTCAAATGTAGGGCATCTCGGAGCAAGGACGCAGCATCTTCAGAGCCCTTCGTGGTGCTTGGGCCCTCCTCATCTGGGCAGCTGGGTCCCTGATCTTTAGGTTGGCTGCATGGAGGGGCTGCCCTGGCAGGAGGGGAAGGACAGGCAACCTGAGGGCTCTGGGGAGGACTGGCTGTCTGGGCAGCAGCCACCTCCTCCAGGCTGACTGTGAACAGACCTGAGAGGGAGGAGACACAGGAGGAGAGAGACATGGCCTCCTCCTTCTTCTCCTCAGCCTCAAACACCTGCACGGCCACCAGGTCCTGGTTCTCCCTTCGATTTTGAATGTCTTCCTCCAGCTTGCAGAGCTCACTCATCTGATGGTGAGGCATGATGACTCGCACAGCGATAGCGGCAGTAGTGTGGGCAGAAGGTGGGCCAATAGGACACACGGGACTGTGGGAGAGAGGGAGTGTGAGGGGCCTCAACTGTGAAACGCACCCTAGTCGGCTCTGACAATGGTGACTTACTAGTATCTTTTTCAGCAGCGTTCTCGGGCCTCTCAGCAGTCTCTCCCGAGCGGCCTGTCCAGTAAGATCCTAAAGGTGGAAGTGTGGGGCTCCTCAGCGTGCAGCTGGCACATCCCAAGGTTCTACGCAAGACAGTGTGGTGAGGTGGGATTGGGTGCTGTGAGGTGTCCACCGTTCTGCTTGTGTGATCCCCTCCTGCTCACTCGGGGTCATCACCTGTCCCCTGGCTGGGCATCCTTCTCCCCGTCTGCTGGCCTGAGACAAAACTCTCAGAACAATAACACACATATCCCTTAGGTGGCACCATATCTGGTCACAGGTGCCCAGAGTCTGACAAGTGTCACCAAAAAAAAAATAATGTTTCACCATACTCTATTGATTCCACCTGCCCTAGGATGGGGGTTCCAAGCAGTCTCCCCCTTGTCACTCTGCAGGAACTGAAACAACTCCATATGTTGATCTGAGTCCCGCCTCCTAAAGAAATAAACCTCATCTCCAGAAGATCCAAGAACAGGAAGCGAGAGGAGCCAATACATACAGATATCAGATCTCTTCATTTCTGACAAAAATAGGCTCACCAGGCCTGGGATCCCTGTGTCCTGGTGTCAGGGCTCCCCTCATCCCTGGTTTGGGATCACCCTGCTAACGCATGAGATCTTGCCTCAGCTGACCTGTGTCCAGACCCACAACAATGGCCCTCCCCTTCCCGAGACCACCAACCAGGAAAAGGACGGAAAGACTTAGCCTGACAACCTTGCTCAGCGTGTCCAGGGCTGAGAGTAGGGCTAGCTGGATTTCTGTGGGGGCTCATATTTGTCACAGGCATTATGGTACACTCATTCCTCCCTCAGGGTTCTCACCTTCACTTTGACAAGTCCTAGGACTGTTCTCTCAGTTGAGCAGACATGCCTCCTCAGATGACTTAATTTTGTCCACTGAGACCAAGGTCCTCAGCTTCCTGAAGGCCCCAAGAGACACGTCAGCAGGCACCACATTGCAGAAACCCCACCCCACCCCTCCACATCCCCTGCTAACATCACAAAACACTGACAGGAGGTACGTCCCTCTGGCCCTGCTGCATTCCCCAGTCCCCCTGTAGGTTGTCAATGTTTATTCCTGCCAGGGCCTGCCCTACCTCCAAGCTCTCCCCACCTGGGACATTTGACCTCTTCCCCTTAGACAAAGAACTCACCTCACTGAGGACTCCCCACTGTCCCACCCATGATGGAAAGGAGCAAGCCACTTAGGTCCACTGTTGGTCCTTTCAGGGCTGAGGACAGGGGACAGCTGGACATTGTGTCATCCTTCCTTTTCTGAGAAGGGAGCACACATGGAGGCTTCACAAATGGTCAGCACGTTGACACCTGGAAGATCCTGGCCCTCTTCCTTCTGATCTCATGATTCTTTGTGACCAACGTCCACACATGCCCAAGATTCCCCCATCCACAACCATGTGCAAAAGAGGGAGCCTACAACATCCAGCCCTTCCTGCTGTGTCTTCCCGGGTCTGAGAACAGGGCTATCTAAACCCTGTAAGGTTCTTTCCTTTTGGGGTGGGGGGACTTCACCCTTTCACCCTCAAAGGTGGTCTTTGTCTTGAGATTGGCAGATCCTGGGCTCCCTTTCTATGCTAATCCGAAGTGTCCCCCAGGCCTCTCAGCCCGGAGCTCCCAAGACAGATAGAAGGCTGCTCCACCTGAGGCTACCCCTGCTTGGAGACTTCAGGGATGACACAGGCCGACCTGATGTCATTGGGAACACTCTGTCTCAGTGCAAGTCCCCTCTGTGACCTTTCGACATGTGCATTTCTTCCTGGAGGGGCCTAGATCTGTCCCTTCTCATAACCTGAAGATGAAACCTTGAGGACAAGGCCACCGTCTGCTGTGTTGAAACCACGATCCTCAGACCAAGGCCTTCACCTCCTGAAGACCCCTGAGGCAGAACTTACGAAACAGCTCACGTGGTAATCCTGCTCTGGAGCCCATAGAGACCAAGTGCAGGGCCACAGAAGCCATCTCGGCTCTGGTGGTCTCGATCCTCACCACCCCTTCAAGGTCCTACCTTGACTCCCCAACTACCTGGGACCTCCCCTCTGCCTACCTGAGGCCCTGATTCTTACACTGAAATCCAGAGACTCACGGACCAGAAGGTGAAGGCATGAAATGCCGCTGGACCCCCAGCAGCACCTCTGTCCTCCCCTCTGTGGACCTGAGTCCCTACACTTTTTACCAATTATCGAGTCTCACTCGGTCCTGGAAACAGAAGTCAGCAAACCTATGGACTTGGGCTTTTCCCATGGAGCATCACATGTGTGATAGCAGGGGTGAGCCTCTATGGGGTCGCCTCGGTTGTGGGGTCCAGGGTCCCGTCAATCACCCCTCTACTGACCTGAGACCCTACTCCTCACGCAAAAGCCCAGAGGGTCACTGCTCTGGTGTGCAGGTTACCTCTTTCTCCCTCAATGTCCTTCGTGGACTGTGGCAGGACCTGGGGTCCTCCCCTCTGCTGCCTGAAGCCCCGCCCCTTACAGCAGCCCCCGGTGTGTCGGAGACCCACATGCACAAGTCAGAAAACACCCTAGTGTCCCTCTCCCTACCCCACCCTAGGAGACCTGCAGGACTGACTCTGTTCCAGGTCCCGGATTCCCTGACCTCCGTCCGGTTCCTGACGTTGATCCGGGCAGGTCCGGGTCCCTCAGCCTCTGAGCTGAGGCTCTGCCCCTACACGCGGCCCCCGCAGGGTCTCAGACCAGAAGACACCAGGTCAGCACCCCCTGCTCGTGGGCATCCCACTCGTGGGCGTCCCAGGACGGAGAGCTCCACGGTCCAGAGTCACGTTGTCTTCCCTGTGGTCCTCCCCTGAGCCCCGGCAGGTCCTGGGACCCTCACCCTGTTCACGGGGGGCTGGGCCCCAGACGGAGTCCCGCCAATGTGGAGATCCCAATGAAGTCTGAGGACATCGCTTCAGGCCACCAAGCCTGGGGATTCCCGGGGCTCCCGGCAGGGCTGAAGTAGGTGTCCTGGGGTCCCCCAGCCCTCCCTGTGGTCCTCACCTTGATTCCAGGCAACGTCTAGGTCTCTGCCGCTGACAACCTCGGGGTGCTCCCCTCAGACCTTGCCCTTGACCCCGAGGGCTCTGAGGAGGTGGGGGAGGGGTGTGGGAAATGGTACTCGGGCGGACAGCCAGCACCCCGGACCCTCAGGCTGACAGCAGGGCTACGCCTGGGCTCTGCAGGGACCCCGTCCCCCCTCAGGCTCGTACCTGGAGCGTCTGCGGGACTGGGCTCCGTCCCACTGACCACGTGAGGCCGGCCTCCCAGCCTGGGCGCTCGCCTGTCTCCGACTTCCCCAGCGGAAGTCAGTGGAGGGCACTTCCCGAAACCAATTCTGGGGTCCCCCAGGGCCGAATGCAGGGGCGGAGCTCGGATCCAGGGCACAGGAAGTCCTGACTCTGTTCCCCACCTGGATGTGCCAGGACCACAGTCCCCGCCCTCTGGGGACCCCATGTGTGTCCCTCAGACCAGGCTCTGACTCCCCCAGGTTTCCCCTGGCAGGTGGAGGCAGGGGACATTGCTCAGCCTGAGGGCCCGACCCAGCGTCCTGAAGAGCTGGCAGTGACACCAGGAGTGGGATTGTGTAGTGCACTCTGATCTGAGGGGGGTGGAGCCCCCAGACCTCCCCCAGGAGGGTCCTCACAACCCTGGCAGAGATCCTGCAGTACCAGGACAGACGCTACAGGGGGCGCTGAGGAGACCATGGCGTGGGGGAGGGGCAGAGAAGAAGTCTTACTATGAATGAGGACTATACAGTGAAAACACCAGCATTGGACATGGGAAATGTAGACAGACGACCACAAACCCCCTGCACCCCACCCATCCCTGTTGCTGCTCAGTGTACTGAGTAGTTACTAACCTTTACAACACACAGGTTCCAAAGTGTCAGCTGACTTCTGGCCCCTACCCTATGCCCTGGGGACTATAGTACACTGCTGGTGCGAATGCAGGCTGGTGCAGACACTGTAGAAAACACTAAGGTGTTACCTTAAAAAATTAAAATTGAACTTCCCTTGGACCAGTGATCCCACTTCTAGGAATTTATACTAAGAGACCTGAAACACCAATCAGAAGGAATATATGTACCCCCATGTTCATAGCATCACTATTAATAATAGATAAGATCTGTAAACAGCCCAAGTGTCCATTTTTTACCCAAGATGGGTAAAAAACAGTGGTACATATACACAATGAAGTACTATGCAGCTCTAAGGGGAAAAAAAGCTCTTATTTTTGAGGGACCTGGAGAGTATTATCCTACGTGAAACAAGCCAAGCAGAGAAAGACAAATATCATATAATCTCACTTATTTGTGGAATATATTGAACATAACAGTCTGGGTATGGGGTATTCACAGAAATGTGGAAGTTGAGTACAGACAGACAATCCCCCGAAAATGGGGTGGTAATGTGAGATAAACCAAAGAACTTATATGCATGTATGCATGAACAAAGATTATGAACAACAAACCTGGTGACAGGGTGGGGAGGGGGATGGAGACAGAGGGGAAATCAGTGAGGGAAAAAGTAGAAACATCTGTAACAGTAATGAATAAATTAATTAAATAAAATACTAAAAAACATTTCCAATATACAACAGGTTTATGTTTTTGTAAAGTACAATAGATTTATTAGTAATGTTAGCTGGAAATAGATGTACCAACTATTATTTGATTCAACAGACATGAACCATGTTTGCACATGCCCTTGATTCCTGTACTTACCACAGGCCCAGAACAGTGTGCAAAGCATCATCAATTTGCAAACTGTATTATTTCCTACGATGGCTGCAGGTTTCAGGTGGACATGAA